GATGGCTTTCTGCCATCATTTGTAGCTGGTTGTGCTTGAACCACAAATGCACCTGGTAACACCCCAGAGATTGGCTTGGATTTACCACCCTCAATCTCACATGGGAGCAGTCAGCACCCGGGCAAGGAAGAGGATAAAGACAGGACAAATGTACAACAATATCTTTGCAGCTTCTAGTGAATCCTCATCTTGGAGGTTCTCCAAGCTGGTCAAAGCATCTTTCCTTACTACCCTAGCCCTTCATCTTTTGTCTTGTATGAGTTGTACAGCTACATGTTGCGTCCATACAAATTTTTGGTATACATAGCACAGAGTGTCTGTGTGTATACAGCATGTATTCTTGATCTGTTGTTTCCAGTTCTCACATTGAGCATTTAACTGATTTAAATGATAGCTTCTGGTTCCTGTATTCTGAGGGTCAGCAAGTCGTAACCGGTTTATTCCTCTACTCTGTGCCATCTGAGATTTTCTCCCACGTAACCCTTTCTGTCATTCCTTTACCACGGTACAGAAGCTCTGTCTGTGACTTCTGAACAGAAAGCAGTTGTTTCCTTCAGTTGATTTCATTATCCATTTTGGAACCTTTTCTAGCCATTCTTGGATCCTGTCTGAGACCAGGACAACAGCTGGTTTTTAGGGTGCAATGGCATGTTACATTTTTGTGGTGGCACAGCAATATCTCTTGTTCTGCTTTCTTTTTAGCTTTAATTTGTTGACTTTTTAGATCAACTCTGACATGCCTATATCTTAGGACAGTTTATCTGATTAGTGTACCACTGAGCATGCACAATTACTGCAGGTTTTATCTATGATTTGTTTTGCATTTATTGACCTTGAACTTTATCTTCCATTTTATCTGGCATTTTATGGCAGATCTTTCTGCAGCTGTTTACAGTGAACTTCTAGCTTTAAAACTTGAGTAATGTGGGAATATAGACAAACCGTTACCTTGTTATGCATGACACCTTATCAGTAAATTATCTCAACAGGTTGCCCCAAATCTGCTGTGGAGGAACACTAGCAATAACCTGCCCCATTCCTTCTTATTTTTTTCTATTATTTATTTTAATCAGTGGTCTACTTTGTTTATTTGCATGATTGCTCAGTTTTTTGAGCTGGCTGCTTTGACTCCCCAAGGAGGCCACTCCTACCCATGTACCCAGCAATTCTTTCACACTGTGGGGTGTAAGAGTCCTTTTCTCTTCCAGGTCTGTCAGTCCAGACCAGCTTCACCCAAGACTGAAAGCAGGGTATTCGCACACTCAGGCAGGAGCTCAGCTCAGTGCCAGCTTAATGCGGACTGTTGTCCGTGCCAGGCTTAGCCCTACAGGTGGGAAACAGCTTCATCTGTCTGTGAGTCCTGAATCCTCTCAACTCACGTCACTGCTTCCTTCTTGCTGTGTTCTAGCCATCAATGACTGCAGTTCGTTAGGCATTAACAGGTGTCTCTAAGTTTGCAAATCTTAAATGCGTATTCCCTGTATCTCCCAAGCAGCGACCAAACACTGATCAGAAAGAGGGAGTGCAAAGTCCTTGAGGTTCTGTAAGTTGTTCTGTAATCCTTGAACAATTTTGACATCTTAATAAGATCTTTATTGCAAGTGTCTCTGTTAATTTGGATATTCTTGCATATTTAACTTTCACAGTGAGCATTCTTTGCTGGAAAATATTTAGTCCAGCTATGAAAGGGGGAGGTTCAGGTTGGGTATTAGGAAAAACTTCTCAGCCAGATGGTGAGGCAGTGGCACAGGCTGCCCAGGGAGGTGGTGGAGTCACTGTCCCTGGGGGTGTTCAAGAACTGTGTGGATGCGGCATTGAGGAGTATGGTGGGGATGGGCTGGTGCTTGGACTGGATGATCTTAGAGGACCTTAGTGATTCTATGAAATGTGAGGAAGAAAGTTGTAATAAATTGTAGTGCTTCGTAGAAGGAAGAAGATGGAAAATACAACCATGAGGTTGCTTGCTGCTGGAGGGGTTGCAAATATTTTAATTTAGAAATGCAGAGAATTACTCAATTCTTATCATCTATTCAGTTTTTCTCTGTGGCAGTTGTACAAAATTTGGACTTCTGGGAATGCAATCAGAGCAGACTGGAAGTATGACAATTTCTCATGCAGAAATTTGCTAGAACAATAATTCAGTGATTGTAGTATCTGGGAAGGAGAAAAGCACATGTATCATTCTGCATTTTTGAGCAGAAATTCCCAAATGCTGAGTTTTTCAAACTTCGTTACATGTTTACAGTACTGTCATCCCTGTGTTTGCTGTGTTTATAGTGGGATGATACCCCCTTCTTAGTCATTTACGTGTTCACTATGACTCACACTCTTGTACTGGCAACTGGTTCTCCTTTTCTTTTACTGCCCAGGCTGTTCTTTCACGACACCTTCTATTTACTTCCAATACTCCATCCTATGATAAAATGTGTGTTTTTGCTTTATCACCTGTGGCTTTCTGTTTTGGTAGATGGGTATCAGACACCAGAGCACTCATCCTTTTCCTGGCAAAAGTCTGCTGTCGACCCAGCTGGTTGATCCCACAACAGACTGAAAAAGCCAAGCACATGGGAGTGCATTGGATCTTTTCTGCTTCTTTTCCCAGAGACAAAATTAATTCTGTAGACATTTTGACTGGCCCAAAATCATGCCACTTAGAAAACTGTTTGAATAAGACTTGTCTGTCACGATTTAATTTTTCAAGCTACTCCAAAAATAATTGATTTATATTTATAGAATTCCTTTCATCACAAAGGACTCCATATGCTTTTCAGAAAGATATTTCCATTCAAGCTATTGCTGAAACACAACCTCTGCTTAACTGCAATATTAGTTTACAGCATGAGGCAGGAAAAAAGGTTACCTGAAATACAGCCATTTTCACTCAGAATTATCCCTTTTAGGAGTCAAAAACTATGAAAATCCACATGATTCTGGTGCATGAAATTGGACCAATTATATGACGTTTAGGAGGAATATTAACATTTCTCATTCTGAGAGCTATAAGTACTTTTCAAATGTCTCCCATGACATCTTCAATTCATTCTCATGCCCTGAGATTTCTGCCACCTGAAATGTATTTTTACTTTATTTGTTGCAGCTATTCAGGAAGTTTTATACTGACTTAAAAGCAGCTTTCTTTATAGCATCAGAAAACTTTGGGCTGTGGGTAAATGTGAACTTGGTAGGACAGGTTAGGATTTGTTAAATTCTGTACTGGTGAATACTGTGTCTGAACCTACCTATCTTAAAAAGAAAACTGAGTTTCAGTAGGGTTTTTTTCAGTATTCATTTTTCACTGTCATTTTCTTAGGAGTGGATTGGAAATAATAGACTATTAGTAATTGCTAAGATGATTCATTTTAGTTATAGGTCTTTACATCCATTTACACTGAAAGTAAGCTCAAAGTATGCACAATGTTAGTTGCTAGTGCAAAATATCATCATGAGATCATTTCTGACAATGATTCTGTGGGTGCTGACTTACATGATGGCCTCATTTCTGTTTTAACAACCTGGTTGGACTGCAAATGAGGGTGGAATCTGGTCTACTGAATCATGTACATTTGCTTTTATTTAGCGCTATCTCTCCAAATCTTTTCCTACCTGATTGATAATTGGATTGAAATTATCTTTAATTACATTGTCTGGGGCTTTGTTAATATCAGCCCCTAACCAACTGTACTGCATGTTTGGGTGCCCACTTAAGATTCTGTGAGGTGAGCAGGGCTGAAGGGCAAACTCCAGAAAGCTGCATCACTGCAGTCTCAGAGCCATTAATTTTGTGCAATGATAACTTTGTACTCAGAGAGCAATATTCATTACAGGCAAGAAGGGAAGCATGCAAGTCCTTAATTAACAGTAGGATATAATCAGCATAAAGTAATAGTTTAATGTTCTACAGAATCAGTGTTATAGCCTTTTAGACTGTTGGTTTTTCCATTTTAGACAAGGCCAACACAACATTGTAATTGTCTGGATGCCATTACCCAACTCTCATTACTCTCCAGGTGCTAGCTCACCACCCTGTTTCCTATGATTGACCCACAGGTTCAAGTATGCAAACTGCCCAGGCTCCCCAGAGACCTCCATTTTCATCATGTACATGAATAGCAACTGACTTTATTTTTTTCCCATAATCCAACCCACCAGACAGATTGTGACTGGGTTTGTAAAAAGGACATGTTTTATTTTCATCATAGGATGTGCTACAATTATGGAAGCACTAGCAGAAAGCTATCTAGAATGCCTGGACTTGCCCCCAGTCCCGCTTTGCCACAGGAACCTGAGCATACAGCAGCTCCTCTCCACTGTGCATGCACAGGTAAGAAGCTGAATTTATGTCCATGCCTGTCCACAGGGGAAGGAGGTGAAGCAGCAGCTGCTACTCTAACTCCTTTGGGGGGACCTAAGTACCAGAGTACTGCTTCAATTCAATGCCTGAGTTCTTTCAGGAGGCAAGGATGGGTTTTGACCTCAGTTATGTTAGTTGGGAACATCGCATCTCTAGAGAAGGGCACACTTTCCTCAGTGTGGCCAACCCTGATGGCAGTCCCCCAGAGTAGACAAGCAGTCTCCTTGCTGGTACCACCCTAATAATAGCTAGAAGGATTCACTTTTGAAATCTGGTCTATCTAACAAACTTGAGAACCTACAAATGAACCTTAGAAGCTCCAAGACAATGCCGGTGAGAACAAGTGAGACCCACTTGCTAAGGGAATACACAGGGCGTTTTTGTCCTTGCACAATTCACTTAGACTACAGAGGAAGCAGCCACTCAAAGCCTGCCAAAACACCACTTCTGCCCTTAAAGGCAATGTCTGAGAGCCTCCTCCAAGGGCTTTTAAGGAACTGTCCCTCCCTCTGCTCTGTCATAAATACCTGTGCTGCTCCTTCATTCTTTCTTGTATCCTTCTCCGTTTTTTTATTCCACAGGCCAGAACTAAGGCATCTAGAAAATTCTAAAAAAAAAATCTAGAAAATCTGCTTGCCAGCACAAGGAGGCCTATTCCAGTAGTGTATGCCTGTTAAGAGACAAGAGTTAAACATTTATTATTTTTTAAAAATGGCAATTAATATCATACTTCCCAGGGGAGACTGACCACTCTGGCTGTTCCTGCACAGCTGGAGCCTTGCATTAGCCAGGACTCCTGGAATTACTCTATGAAAGCAAGACTGTGCAATTGCTAGTTCCTCAGCCTCACAGATAAGGGCTGGGATTGCAAGGCTTAGTTTCAGAGAGGCTTAGGAAAGACAGAAAGATGTTTCAAGGTTAAAATATCTGTTGTGTGTGTCAGTGAGGAAGGGAGATATATAATTCCCAGAAGACTTAATTCTGTGTGAAGGGAAGCACTAATTTTGGAAATGCCATACCTCTGCTCTGTGGGAGCATCTAACACTTGCAGTTCTTCAGGTGAGCTCCAGACTGTACTTCAGGAAGTGAAATGACATTGAATTCCTCCTTTCCCTTCAGTCTCCTGAAAGTAATGCCTTCAACAGAGCACTTCATTTTGACTAATGCAAAAGTTCCTGTGAATATAAGCATTAGATTGCACATCTCTTCCGTTGTGTTCAGGGAAGATTTGCAGTAGGGTAGTGAGAGTTAATGTGTCAGACAAGACTAAATGTGCCTCTCTGTGCTAAACTGCATCTTTTCTGTTTTTTAATTTTCCTAGGTTGAGAAGTCTTGTCAGAAATCTCTCCAATGGATTTGGCCAATCCATGTCCCTTAGTTTTTCACTGAATCAGACTTAAGGTATGGCTTTTATTCTCTTCAATAATAAAAGCCAGATGCTAAAAAAGTAGAATAAGTAGTCTCTTGGTACCACTTAGTAGACTAGGCCATAGGGAATTGCTTAAAATGGAGCTTTTGTTTCTTTTTTAAGTCAAGACAGTCTATTATCTATCCACTGTAGTTCATGTAAGCGTTTGTGCATTCTTTGATTCAGAGGGTTGGTTTGTTTGTTTTTTCCCAAGCCTACTCTGTCTTAAGTAAATCCTTTTTTTTTTTTTCTGAAATAAACCACTAGAGCATATTGATATAATGAAGCATTGCTTTCAGTCTCTGTGAGACTAGCATGCGAGTACCATCTACCATGGAGAAAACATATTATGATTAGAAAGCATATTTATTCTTGATTCTGCCCAAATGGTTTCTTCACACATTTGTATAATGAGGACTAGAGAACTAAACATTCCACCTAGAATTAAAACTGTGGAACATTTATCCTGGCCCTCAGAAAGGACTGAATGTTTTTAAATAAACTGACAGTTAACAAAGAAATGTTAGGACCACCTGCAGTGACCCGCACCAGTCTCAGCAGATGAGGTTTACCTTGTGGGGGAGCTCCTCTGAAAATATAGCTACCTGCATCCAGAGCCAAATGTGAGCAAAAAGCAGAACTGCTTCTACCTGTGTCAGGCTTCCTGGAGATCCATCACGGGTAGCTGGATGTAGTCCCAGTGACAATCATTCGGTGTCCAACAGAAAGCAGTAATTCAGCTCGTGTTTAGTGATGTGCTCCAGGTCAATGGCTTTGTCCTACAAGTAAAAGGTATAGGAGGTAACTTATGCAGAAAAGACATAACGCAAAAACTTACTGAGATAATACAAAATTTGCATTTTCTCCAGCAGAGTCTGGTTAGATGTGTGGTGAACTCCCATCTCATACAGAGCTTGCACTGCAGGGCACAGTTAGCTTTGTCCAAGATTTCACTGCCAGCTTGGCTCGCTTATTTTTGCTGTGTTTTGTTTTAAATCCAGGCTAAAATTCTTACAAAGTCTTGACTGCAGGACTGCTGCTTCAGCTCTTTCACAACCATCCTTTTGGTAAAGCCAATTCTCTTTTTCTGGAATTTTTAAAAATGTTTACCCATCTAACCCCAAAGTAGCTGGTCAGCACTTTGCCCAGGCTCACTTCAACCTGGAGTCGATGACCCGTGTCTGACTTGGCATTTACACTGTGCCCACTGCAGTTTGGTGTGTGCTGAAACTGAAATCAGTGACAATATCCCTGATTTGTGGCTTGATAATTCATTTGTAAAGTTTCTACTTACATTTACTTTACAGCAGTCCTTATTGCAGACCAAGTTCATCACAAAAAAAAAAAAAAGCATTGGATTTCTTTTTTCAAAGGCTAGACACTTAATGAATACATCTGTTATTTGGAATTCAGATGTTTGCAGATATAGGAGTGGGATTTACAGCTGCAAAAGAGAACAAATTTTAGAAGACACTGAAACCACCTTGTGTGGATCCTGCCTTTTATAAACACCCAAACACAAACCACCCACTTGGACAAAGGCAATATATCCAAAAGCAAATTGAATGAATTGCACTGCCTGCTTTTAGGAAAATAATGTATTTATTCTTCATATGAAATTGCGATGTTCTCTCTGTCTTGTTATGAAATATCAATTTAAACTTTATAACATATTCACGTTTTTACATACACAGCTTCAGACCTCTTGTTTGAATAAATGTGCACCTTTACTGACATGACTGTGGGCTGCAATGCAGGCCAGAGGAGCCACGTTTAAATTGCAGGAGGAAAAAAAAAAAAAGCAATAGATAAAACACTTGGAAATTTTAGTCCCAAGCTGGAATCTGACAGTTCTATAAACAAAGCTGCAAAGCTGCATCTATGTCACACTTGGAGGATGACAGAGCGCTTATACCATCCTACAGTTATTTATCAGCTTAGAGAACATTCATTCATTCAGAAATTAATTGGAGAAGAGTCAGAGAGTCTTGTCCTTGTGACCACCTCCTACAAAATGCCCTGGATAACAGCAGCATCCCAACAGTCACCCAAACATGGCTACACAGTGTGCCTGCTCACACGTACTGAAGTAAATTGAACATGTGCAGAGGGTGGTAAGCTGTATTCTGAAAGCACTGCATCCATGGCTTGCAGCTATCTACCTCCTGCAAATCACTGGCACAACATTTTCATGTTCAAAATGCTCCAAGACATTAGCGAATGAATGAATCAAAAGACGTTCTCAGGAAAAGCAATAAGTACACTCACACAGTCACAATGGGAATTTCATCACGGCCAATACAGCAGTGCATCTGAATCAAAGTGGAGAGATTTTCTTTCTGAAAGGGCTCCTTTTCTTAACAAAGCAACGTCATCACAGACATTTTGTGAATACTCTTACAACAACCACGATTAATAAACACTGCTGGATGCTAGTGGGGTATGGTCTAGAAATCAGGACAAGTGGAATCTTACCTTTGTTTCTCTGACACGGTCATGAGACGCATCCAGGATTTTTCAGAGCACTTTTTACCAATTCTGGATAGCCAGCTTGCAAAGTAGTGCATGATCCTGAGGTCTGCAGGGAACAGAAAACAGCTGTGCATAAAGTGAGGCACCAAAACACAAGTAGCCTAAACCACTGGTCAGTTTGGGCCTATTTAAAGATTGCCAGCTTATATACTTATTTTTTGAATTGTAATGAGTTCTTGTAAAGCATTCTGAGGTTGCAAAATGGAGACAGCTATTAAAGAGACTTTTTTTTTTTTTCTTTTTGACATTTTCTATTTCTGCTGCTGTGGTGTTTGATTACATTTGAGACATGGGAATATACAAAAGCACACGCTTACCGTGGTGTGCTGTTTACAAGGTTATTCTTGCACGTGCTCACTTGCTTGCTCACTCCCACATACAGCCACACTCCCATTACTGTTACCATTTCCAAGGCAAGGAGATGCTGTGCTTTATGGGCCATCTGTCAGGCAGTGACGGGGCACTGTATATTGATGCCATGTTTGTAGCTATCTCTTATTTGAAACAAAGTTCAGTTCAAAGCACTTCCAAGTATAGAAAGGGGAGAAAAAAGATGTTAATGTGTTTAGATTACATTAAAATTTTAAGATTAACTAAAAGAAAGGGAGAAAAAAAAGTCTGCTAATGGGTAGAGCTCAGTGGAGAGGCATTATTATATTACTACTAATGCACATAAAGCATCTCCTATTAAAAAGGGATGGCAGTTTTACATCCTATTAAATATATCAAAGCTGTACTTCAATTACAAATCCTTTCATATGCATGTTTTAACAAATATGTCTGATAATAGAGTGCAGCAGTAGCTTTTTAAATGCTAAACAAGATCCCTACAATACAGCTCACAGATAGAAAAGTACTAGAAGAAGGAAGGTCTATTTGACAGGGAAGGGAGAGATGTATTTCAATATTTTCATTGCCTTTATAGCTCACAAGACAAAGTTTATAAACCATTCCAGTGAGCATAGTAGGACATTGATAAAAGAGCACAACCTGCAACCCGCATACTGAAAGAGTTTGCAAGCTGCTGTTGTTTTTCCACACTGTTATCTTGGAAAACAAGCTGTGTCCTAATAATGCTAGTAACAACAAGAATAAAAGCAGGCCACGGTTGGCTGAGCCCTGCCTTAGAAAACATAAAATCTCAACCAGCCCCCAAAAAGTGTACCTTCCCTAAAGAGAATCCCTATGCCCAGAGGAAGCTATGAGGTGCCGACACGTGGTCCTGGCCTCGTGGACTTGACTCACCTAGTGAGCATCTCTTCCACAAAACAACAAATAAATCCTGATGCTGCTCTGGAGAACCCAGCAAGTGAAACAGTGTTCTGCATGAGCAATCTGGTACTCTGTGGCCTAGGGGGAATAACAGCAATAGAAGGGTCAAAAACAAGCCAAAGAGGGATCCAGCATGACCCTGAATGCAAGCTCATAGGTAAGTCCCTTCTACCCCTGCAAACAGTTGCGAGGACTGGGTAGAGGCACTGCAGAGTCTCCAAGGCCCTGTGGGTAAAGGACTCTGCTTATTGCATCGTTTTCCCATATCTGATCCCAGTAACAGTGTTAGCACAGCAAAACTGAGCCTCTGAGACACCAGAGTTCAGCTCTGCGTTTCTAATTGTGCCTAGCCCCTAGCCTTAGAATTCTGCAAAACCTAAGCTCTGTTCCTACTCAGGGTGAACTGGAGTCACAATGTTAATCAGATCGGGCAGCAGTCTGCCACAAGCCAGGCTCCATTTGCATGGATCACATATTTCTGACATCTGGCATGGGAATGAATGAGCCCGTGCCTATGGAAATGCGTATGAACCCACAATAAGCTTTTTCAGTTTGCTGATGAATCAATTAAATAGAGGTTCATAAATCTTAAAAAAAAAAAAGAGGAAAAAATTTTGATCATAATAAAGAACAACAGTAAATTCTGCTTAGCCTTTTTTCCTTGTGGATTTTTTTTTTTTTTCTTATGGAGATACAGAAGTTGTAGAGATTTAGTGAAATGTAGTCACTTACTTACCTAGGAAATAATGACAAGCAATAGTACTGTAACATTGTCACTCTAATATCCACAGTGCTGGGCAGCAGGGTGGCCTGGTACTCACATCGCTGGGCCTTGCCTTGCTTTGTCTGTCCCCAGCTGCTCTTCATGGCTGTGACTTATACTGCCTTGCTGGGTTCTCTGAAAAGCAAGGAGGGTGGTTTGTGACATCTGCCTCCTCTTTGGTAAGACAGAAGGGAAAGCTGGAGCTGGGTCATCTCTCTTCTCTCAGATCAGCACAGGGGTCTGCACAGTAGAAGTCAGTATGTGCAGAGAAACCATACCAGGACTGCAATAAGATCATAATAGCTCAAAATAGAGGGATAGAGCCAGAGAAAGAGGCTGTTGTCCCTGATTGCTACCCTGCTTGAAAGTCCAGGAAAAGCAAAATCTCATAGTACTGTGTGGGCCATATACACCACTTCTAAGACAACCAGGCTTTGTGAGACAGATTCTGTCCACCTTGGCCTTCAGGAAAATTGTCACCCAAAGGAAATGCAACCTCTCTTTGTCTCTCAGCCAACTCCTCTGGGTAATATAGATCAGTATCACACCATAGAAGTCAATATTACAGATTCCAGCTGGCTAAATTGGCTTCAATCCACTGAGTCAATGAATCAGATGCTCAGCAGGTGATATACAGTGTTTGACTTGCCTAAGCAATCATTATGTCCAGAGACTCAGAGATCTATTCTGGAGTCTAAGCAAACAAGATAAAATGTGTTCCTCTCCTGGCCTCATATATATCATTTCACATTTAAAAGATTTCTTGAGTTGGAGGCATCAGCATTTACTTCCAGCAGCTCCTGGTTTTGAAAACTGAGAGTACTTAGTAGTTGTGTTTATTTGTGCTGATTTTTTTTCCTTTTCCAGCTGCCTCTATTAGCACAAAGGCTAAATGAAAATTCAAATCACTATGGTGATTAGCTGCAAATATTGCTTTTTGCAATGGGTTTGGTGTCCCAAGCAAACAAAGGACCATTCTTCAATGTGCTGCAGACAGCACAATTGTGTACCTCACAGATGTCTCAGTGCAATCAGCTTCTCATTACTGGACTAAACAAAACTTTTGATGGAGCTGAGAGAATCGAGTGACCTGGGGCAGGAAGCAAAGGTTCCCTTACCTGGCACTCTGTATTTCCTCCCCCGCAGGCATATTGATTACTGAGAGGCTGTTTGCTGAATGAGATCCTACTCAGCATGAATGTAGCTGGAACAAGTCCTATATAATTAAAGAAAGGAAGGGAATAAATGATCTGTCTAACACCTTACAGTTATTATACCACAACTTTGTAATCCACAGCCAGGTTCTCTTTCTGCAGATTTTATCTGCAGAGATTGGGGGGAAAAAAAAAACCAACAAACAACAAACCCACAGCTGAAAGCTTACAAATTACACATGGAAGAAAGGAGCTGTTTCTTGTGCTAAGGGGATGCTGAGAAAACAATGCTGCCTCCTGAAGTGGGAGCTAAGGCATCTTGCATCAAATGTGAAACCTACCTCTGAGATCATTTCAGCTGAGGTAACCACAAGCTCCTCGAGAACTGAAGCAAGCCTGCAGAAGAGGGAAGAATCAAAATCTGTGGTGCTTCAGCACATTTTTATGCGCTTGCTAGGCTGGAGATGGAATTTTTAAGGCATGGAATTGGAGTATTGGATGAAGAAAGAAAAGCTGTATGGAGAACAGGACTATTGCACAGCTTCAAGATTAATCAACGTAACTAATGGCAAATTATAAAGCAAGGAAGTATTTTAAAAAGTCAGAGCAATAGTAGGGAGATTTCTAAATACATAGCCGCGGACTGCAAACACCACAGCGGCTGAAGATCAACTTCTACTCTAACATGCCACAAGTAGCCAGAGAACAAAGTGATAGAGATGAAAGGAAGTACAGCAAGACAAATGCACACAAGTACACCACAGCACCTGCTAGTAATATGCCATGCCACTAAAAAGCTAACCAAAATAAGAGAAGCTAGATAGACAGAACTTTTTACAGGGATTTCCAGCTGCTCCCAAGAAAAGGACTTGCAGCAGGTCTCTGTTCCCAGAGAAATAATCAAGAAAAGTAGAGCCTGTCCCCAGTGTTGTCAGTAGATCACTGTGTTGCTCTGCATATTATTACTTCTTTCTTGCCTCAGTTTCCCCACAGTCTGTCTGTACTGTGTAAAGAAAAACATGATCAAATCAATGAATAAGGAATAGGAACAATCAGAAAGGACACAGTACAGGACAGCAGGCGAGTCTCCGCCTGTGACTGGGCCCAGAGGAGCATTATGAGGGTCCCACTCATAATAAAATTTCTTAATGTGAATTCTGGCAACAAAGCAGATGCTTCGATATCTGAGAAAATGACGGCTACAATAAAGACCTTCTCAATGCTTCAAGGTCTAAGCAGTCTCCCAGACACCTTTTTCTTAACACCCCCTTGTCTCAGCCCCAAACAGTGAGGAAGTTAAAAAGAAAAGACATGATCAATAATTAAAAAGCTGGAAATGAACAAATGGAATGAATTGCTCCAAGAAGGGTGAGGAGAGAAACCTGAGAAATATCATCTATCTTTATCTCTCAATCTGGCAGAGGATTTACAAACCATCTTTAAAAAGAGAGATTCTGAGGTTACGCATTCAGGTTTCTGAGCGATGCCAGGTTTTTTATTTTATTTTTTTCTTTTTACATTATGCTTCCTCATTTTATGACACTTCTCAGACTTGAATCATTCACAGCAGATGGCTCCATGAATACTGGATATTTCCATAAATAATGACAGATTTCCCTTCAGTCTCCCCACCCTCCCTCCACTCCACATGCCCAAATCTTTTGTGTGCTAGCTGCAGATACACATTCAAATTCTGGTCAGCAAACAAGCCTATCTAGTGCCATTGTCATTCCTGCAAGCCCAGTAGAATCAGTAAAATAATGAACTTATCATCCCATTTGATTCAAGAGCATTTTTTCCAAGCAATCCTTAGATAGAAGGGAAAT